TACCATCATGAATACTGGCTTTTGAACTGTGCACTGATAACAAGCTGAGTGGTCTTTAGTCCGGAGGACACAGTGTCCATGATTTCTAAAAAGAAATTGAAATGTTGATTCGCTGGACCACAGGACACTTTTCCACTTCCCCTCAGTCAATTTTAAATGAGCTCGGGCCCAGAGAAGGTGGCAGCATTCCTGGATCCTGTTCATAAATGGTTCCTTCTTTGCGTTTAAGAGTTTTAATTAACATTTGTGGATGCAGCGACAAACTGTTTTCATAGACAATGTTTTTCAGAAGTGTTTCTGAGCCCATGCAGTGATTTCCTCTGCAGAATCATGTCCATTTTTTTTTTTTGTTTTTTGGCCTTGTCTCTTGCATACAGAGATTTCTCCAGATTCTCTGAGTCTTTTAATGTTATTATGTACCATAGATGATGAAAAGCAAAAGTTCTTTGCTATTTTATGTTGAGAACCATTATTCTTGAATTGTTGCACTATTTGATTGTGCAGTCTTTCACAGAGTGGTGAACTCCTCCTCATCTTTACTTCTGAAAGACTCTCTGAGATGCTCTTTTTATACCCAATCATGTTACTGACCTGTTGTCAATCAACCACCAGGTGTTTTTTTTAGCATTGCACAACTTTACTAGTCTTTTGTTGCCCCTGTCCCAACTTTTTTGGAACATGTTGCTGGCATCAAATTCAACATGGGCATGTATTTTTCAAAAAAACAATACAATTTCTCAGTTTCAACATTTGATATGTTGTCTTTGTACTATTTTCAATGAAATATAGGGTTTAAATGATTTGCACATCATTGCATTTTGTTTTTATTTACATTTTTCACAGCGTCCCAACTTTTTTGGAAATGGGGTTGTAGATGCTGAACAGTACGCCGAGGGCAAATAAGATGTCTGGGCAGTCTTCCATTCTGCTCTTCTTGTCCATGGTGACTTTCATCAAACTGTTCTGCAAGGGCACTCTATTCTTACAACTTCTTAAAATAATCTGTGCATGTACATAACTTGATGACAAGCAACAAAATATCTAATTTGTATATTTATCATGCTCTGATGCCTTTGTCCCAATCGTGCTGGTGCTAGTCAGTGATGATGGCCAGCTGAGTAGTGAGCATTTGGTTAAAATGCACTACAAGACCATCATTCTAAGGGAACTCCTCCGGCTAGTAGAATCTCTGCTGCAGCTGCTTCAGGGTCTTACCCACCCTAAAAACCAATGCCAGTTGCCCCATGCACCGTGCCCAGCACAGTTTTAAGCAGGCTGCATGGCACCAGCAACTTCTTCCCATATGCAATAAAACAGCCCTTCGTATTAACGGAGGCTGTCCAAATCTTGGTGGCAGGCCCCTGTGGTGTTACATCTGTTTGTTCCGGGGTCTGCCCGAGCTGGAGCCAACCACTGGTGCTGTGTGGAAAAGTTGTACTCCTGTAACACCGTGATCCACCTCACCACTTTGCCCTTGGGCTCTTTGAAGTGCATGAGCCAAGTCAACAAGGTGTGATCAGTGTGGAGCATTAAGGGAACACTGTACAGGTTGGCCCAGAACTGGCGATTTCTTTGCTTTACACAGTAATCATGCTCTTACTTTCTCAACCATCAGCTGTAATATGTGATGACCTTCTCATTACCCACCTGCCCTTGCGAGAGGACGGCTATGTCTGCGAACTCACACACACACATGGGTACCTGGGTATGATTTTCTACTGATAATAGAAAATCATGTGCCGCACTATTCATAGATTTATCAAAAGCTTTTGATACCGTTAACCATGACATTTTGTTGTCCTGATTGGCTAGCATTTGGTTGTCTGCCAAGGTTATAGGCTTGTTTAGAAATGATTTAAGTAACAGATGTCAGCGTGTACTTTTTGATTGGTTTTTGTCAGAGAAGCTTGCTATTAGAACTGGGGTGCCACAGGGTTCCATTTTGGGGCCCTTGTTGTTCACAAAAAACATTAATGACCTCTGCAATAATGTTTTAAATGCTGATATGCATTTTTATGCAGATGATACCATTATCTATTGTTCTGCTTCATCACCAGCTGAGGCTCTTTCAAATGGAAGGATTTGTGACTGTTCAGCAGCACCATCTTAGCTCTTTAAGGCTTATTGTTAATGATCTATATTTATATATATATATATTAGGGGTGGGAATCTCTAGGCACTTCACGATTCGATTACGATTCAGAGGGCTGCGATGCGATTATAAAACGATTATCGATGCATCTTTTTTTTCTATACATGATTTCTATTTTCTTACTGTCTGAGGACTTGGTACTTTCAAAGCTAAGTATTTGTAGTGATCCATAATGCATTTACGTCCAATATCTTTTATTAATAAAACAAATGGAAGTGATGTGGCAAGTGAACTGGAAGACTCTCATTCACTGCTCTTGTTTGGAGACGCTGCTGCCACTTTATCTGTGATAAAATGCGCTGTTACAGTGAAATAAGATCCAGTGGTAATGGATGACCACGCAGCACATTATAGCTGTCCTACCCGTTTTCGTTAGTGATTTTATAACTTCGGTTTTGGTCTTGTGGTAGTGAGTGGGGGGGGGTCGCTGTGTCAGTAAAATATCTTCGAGACGGGGCGTGAGCAACATAGCGCAAAAGCCCAGGTTCGCAACGACTGAGAATTGGCATGCAGACTGCAGGTCACCTAGCAACAAGGTTAGTAGCAAACGAAAAAGGAAAAGAGAAAGACAGACGAACATTTGGAGATGAATGTACTTCTTCGCATTTATAAGCAACGTAGTTGGTTTCCAGATACGTTAAATCTGCAATGAGAGACTAAAAAATTGTTTAGAGTTGACTAAAAGTTCTTTCTAATTTCTCTGTTCCACGTTAAATGGTGCCACATTTACCTTCAGCGCCTCAGTCAGAATTTAAGGTGGAACGGGAAAGTTCAGCAAGAAGCTGGCGAATGAGAAGCGACTTCAGCCTTGTAAAACAGCCGAAACTATTCAACTTTTGAGGAAAAGTTTTCTGCCGGAGATGGAAGAAAAGCGGCTATAGCTGAGCTAAAGCTTAAATAGAGCAAAGTAGATCTGCATTTTCGTTTATATTTTTTAGTCTATACTAGGACATTATCACACACTGAGACATACTGGACATTAAATGCTGTGGCTCCCAAGGTGGTTTGATTTTTGTTGAAAGGACAAAATGGCTCTTCTTATCATTTGTGTTGTGACTCCTGATCTAACCTATCTTTTAATGCAGAGGGAGCCGGTCGGATTTCTCACTCATCCATGTGTGTTTTTGTTGTGTGCCGCCACAGACTGTCCGGACACTGCACTTCCCCACTTCCAAGTTCTGCCCTTTGCATTCCGTCAACATTACGTTATAAATAAAATATTTAGAAATCGATTTTTGACATTTATGAATCGATTCAGAATCGATTTTTTCCCCCACCCTAATATATATATATATATATATATATATATATATATATATATTATATTATATTAATATATATAATATAATATATATATATATATTATATTATATTATATTATATTATAATATTATATTATATATATATATATATATATATATATATATATATATATATATATATATTATTTTCTAAAAACTTGATAGATCATCCTTGCCACAAATTTACACACTGCTGGGCAGACCAATGGAATTAGTATCACCTTACAAATATTTGGGTTTTATATTAGATGATAATCTCTCTTTTAAATTGCATGTTGAAAAACTGATAAAGTTTTTATTTTAGGAACAGTTTTTGCTTTACTCAACAGGCATGAAAAAAACTAGTCAAAGTTACTTTTTTTTACCTATTTTAGATTATGGTGATGTTTTTTATAGGTATATTTCAAAGACAACGCTGCACTCACTGGATTCTGTTTATCATTCAGCCTTAGGATTTATAACAGGCGCTAGATATTCAACTCATCACTGTGGACTTCATGAAATGGTTGCATGGCCTTCACTTTTAGTGCAAAGACAAATTACTTGGATATTTTTTATCTATAAAGCAATAATAGGTCAGCTTCCTTCATGTTTGTCTGCATTCATATCAACAAATAAGTCTCGATACAATTTACGTTCTAGTAGTTATATTCAGCTGGACGTCCCGATAGTACGGTCTGAATATGGCAAGGCAGCTTTTAGTTACAGTGCTCCATCTGCATGGAATGCTCTGCAGAAACATTTGAAACTGGAGCAGTTTATTTCCTTAAGTGAATTTAAGATAACTGTTGAAGAACTGTATCATTCTGTTTGTTTTTAATTTGGTTTTGACCCTGATTTGATTCTGTTGGTTGTGGTCGTGTTGTTTCTTTGTCGATTGTTTTTGTGTGCTGTCTTCTTGGCCAGGGCTCACTTTTAAAAGAGATCTTAAATCTCAGTGTGATTATCCTGGTTGAATAAAGGTAAAATAAAAATATATACATGGTTCTATACAGAAGCATTGCATTTACTAAATAACCTTTTGAAGAACCCCTTTTTTAAAAGTTTACCCTGTTATGTGACTGGCACCAAAATTTTGTAGTATAAATGTTCATGTACACATCGATGGATCATTCTACTGAATTGCCCTGATCAATTCTGTTTTCTCCGCCACGTGCCTTTGTTTTTGTCTCCTCCCTTGTCCTGCTCTCATCACTATTCCTCACCTGTGTTTGTTTATTACTTGCCTTCTCTTACTGTTTTCAGGTATCTCTAGTCTTTAGTGTAAGTGTATATACCACTTTGCCTCCTTTGTTTTCTGGTCAGCACTGATGTATGTTTCCTGGCTCATGTAATTTGTGCAGCTATTTCAAGTACTATGCTATACAATCAGCTATTTTAAAAAAATTGTGTAATAAGTTTGTGTAATACTTTTTGATAAACTATCACTAAAAGAGTCTGCTGTTTACCACACAGCTGACTACAGAATAATGTAAAGTTGCATGTTAATACCATAATATTTGTTTGTGTAAAAATGAACTAAGCACATTTCTCTCATCTTTCTTTAGCATCTACTGATGATTCGTGTCAGAGAATTAAAGGGGCTGCTGAAATGGTAAGTGATTTTAAAAGTTCACCAAGAACTGCATGTTTGGCAGCTACAATAAAATACAAACACTTCAAATGTTATGTTATTATGACTATATTAATAACAAAATTATAGTATATAAACAAGTGAATGTATTATTATTATTATCATTATTAATGTTACGTTGCAGTACAAAATGTTTTTCTGCACATTGCATGTAATTACACCAGAAAGGTCTCCAAAACTTACATAGTGCAGATTTAAACTGATATACTGGCACATGCCTACTATACAGTTTATACCATGTAGACTAATTGTTTACAGGCTCTCTGTAATTTGTCTTTTTTGATCCATGCAGTTGTGGAGTGTTCTAGAAGTACTGACCATACCCATCATATACTGACCATACCCATCAGAAAAAAGTTTTGTGATAATAGGGCCAAATCTAATCTCAACTCATTTACTGAATGGCTGTGGTCTAATTATTTCTGAAATTTCATTGGATCACTGGATTTTTGAGATTTATTCCCTCTGAAAATGTTCTAAACATTTTTTTTTTCATTGGAAAATAGTGATTTATGCATTTATACTAAGTTGTATAAAAGTTGTTAAAAATATGTAATTACGGGGAAGTTGTGGAGAGAGCAATACATTTCATTTTGAATTTTTCTTGAAGTGAAAGTGTTACGTTTCAAGTTAGATCTTTTCATTTTTCATTAGGTAGCTAGCATTAGCGTCCAGGATGCAGGAATGGGGGGTGCTGAGGGTGCTCAGGATTGCAACTCCTAAAATTAATTAGAATAATAAAACTGTCTGAACTTTATAATAATTTGAGCATAGTCAAGACCCATGTATGCTTGTTTTAGGGTGGAGTTTGTAGTTTTATATTTTCAAAATCTGTAGTAGCCGTGCACTGTTTAAGTGAATGCTCTATTTTCATCACAGTGAGCTGAAAACTGTTGGCTGCTTTAGGGGTGCATCACTAAATCACACACAGGTTGAGGTGCAAAGTGGGAAAGTGCAGAGTTATAAGCCAATTCTGAGTCCCAAAGCAGCCTAATTAAGTTATTAAGCTTAAAAGAATCATCTAATGTAATAATGATGTTTTTCATAACCATCTCCTGCTCGGTGTGTTCCAGTGTTAAATCTCAGGCTGACACAGTTGGTTCCAAAGCCATACATCAGCAATTTGATTGGTCGCCACTCAAGTGCATGTAGTTCCCCAAAAGCATAGTTGCTGACTATATTAGCAACTTACATAGTTAGAAACATGCAGTTAAAAAACATAGTTGTAAATATCGAGGTAACTATGTTGGTAAGTTACATAGTATGAACTGTCAGTAAGCGACAAAGGTGTTTCCCGAAAAAATAGTTCGACCGAATGTTTGCAAGCACTGTCGTTCACTTGTACCATCGATTCCAGAAGTTTGAATCGAAAAAGACAAACACACTATAAAGTTTGTACATTTGTTCACAATCTCAATCTTAAAATAATAATGTGTCTATAATGTGTTTAGGCCATGTACTGAACTTTTTAAAGTGCAAACTGTACACCTATTGTTAAAGGTAGTTTTATTTTGATCATAAAGGGGAAAATAACCCCTGACTGGCTCCAAAGTCAAGACTGTTAAACAATTACTCTAGTAACAGATGTTATTTACCACCGAAACACTACATCTAAAATAATACATGTTGTGTTCATTTATCAAATATAGCTTGAAATGCACTAAACTCTGTGATTTAAAGCTTTCCTAAATTACCCTGTCTCAGATAACCTAACCTGCTGCCCCATATGTGAAAATATGAGCAATATACTGTGTATGTCTAATGTGTTATCAAGTTAGTCTTTATTACAAACATACACTATATGGACAAAAGCATTGGGACACACCTCTTAATCATTGAATTCAGGTGTTTCATTCAGTCTCATTGCCACAGGTGTATAAAATCAAGCATCTAGCTACGCACTCTGACTTTAAAAACATTTGTGAAAGAATGGGACGTTCTAAAGAGCTCAGTGAATTCAAGCGGGGTTCTATAATAGGATGCCACCACTGCAACAAGTCAGTTCATGAAATTTCTTCCCTCTTAGATATTCCATGATCAACTGTGAGTGGTAGTATAGAAAAGTGAAAGCATTTAGGAACCACAAATCAGCCTTGAAGTCTCAGACCATGTAAAGTTATAGAGCGGGTCGCCAAGTGCTGAGACACATAGTGCATGAAAGTCGTCAAAACTCTGCTGACTCAGTAACTGCAGAGCTCCAAACCTTCTCTGGTATTAACATCAGCACAAAATACGTAATGGCATGGGTTTCCATGGCAGCTGCATGCAAGCCTTACATCACCAAGCATAATGCCAAGTGTCAGATGCAGTGGTGTAAAGCACACCACCACTGGACTCTGGAGCAGTGGAAATGTATTCTGTGGAATTACAAATCACACTTCTCTATCTGGCAGTCTGATAGACGAGTCTGGGTTTGGTGAATGAGAGGAGAACAACAACAAAAAAAAGCTATAATAGCTGTTATAGCTGCAAAGAGGGACCAACTCCATGTTAAGGCCTATGGATTTAGAATGGGATGTCAAGCTCCTGATGGTGCACTGTGTAGGTGTCCCAATACTTTTGTCCTTATAGTATTATCATAAAAGACAACAAAGAAATCTTTACAGTACTTTAATGAATCAATACTTAGTCGCTGACAGCTTCCGTTGCAATTATGAAAAAGATAAAAAGAATGCATCACGACTCAGGTTATGATGCCACATGTCTATTCCACTGAGCCGTAAACACACACTGTTGAAAAGTGCTGTACTAGGTATTAAAAACTGTTAATAGTGTTTTATTTTATTTAATTTTAATGTATATTTAATGTTGCATCATACCATGTTAATTCAATGCTAACCTCCATTGTTGTACAAGAAACACACCCCAGAAGGAGAGAAAGCAGAGAGAGGATGAGGGTCAGTGGTTTAATGTGTCAGTTATATGAATATATTGTCTTCTTTGATGTTTGATGTAAATCAGCAAAAGAACATCAAATACAAAAAGGTAAATCATTTTGCATGACATCATCATTCATGTCACATATATGCAAAATTGAACTTGAATTGTTTACTTAAAATTAAATGTTGAATGCTATTGCTTGTTTAAAAAATAATAATAATAATATTGAATTAACTTGTGCTATATTGCACAATCAATTTAATCACAATAAATACTTAATTAATAGATGAAAGACATTTCAAGTGTTACTGTATTACTGTCATATGTATTTTGTCATAGTTTCAATGAAGTGGAATCTTACATTTCTTTTTGAAATGTAACATTTTTATTGCTGCAATATAGACAACGTTTTTACCTTTCTCATAATAGACATACAATGCAATTTCAGAATTTCAGAGCTCCCTCAGATCAACCTTGAAGTTAAAAAGTGCATTGAATTACATGTTAATTACACAAATAAACGGTTGTATCTCATTACATTAATATCAATATCAGATTATATTAATAAAACTAGTCATCTTCCATTCCACCGGCAAAATGGCCTCTATTAGATCTGTAAGACTGTCTATTCCAGTTTATTTTCCCTAACTGTATGTTGGTCTATGCTTCATCATCCTGTACATGATAACCTCATGCACAGACATGTTTCAGTTTTAATATAAATGCACATTCTTCTTAAAGGGGGCATTTTCCACCTTTCTCCCTTAGTTTGTCATGATAACTGTAACATTCAGTCATATTGCTGACCCCTATATAGCAATATATTTACTTAGGCCTGTGTTATATGAACAAAGTAGTTCAGTTAATTGTTCTTGAAAGTCACTATGTGATTGTCTCTAAACAAATCAGAAAGGCTGAATGATCCAGTGACCCATTGGTGCGTTACATTCCTTGAGTGGAAACTGAATCTCTCACTGAATTTGATTATTTTTTTCATTGCATTATAACTTCTGTTAGGTTACATTTTCCATAAAATGAGAAAAAGAAGTTAATAGGGATTAAATGGTCTACAAAGGAAACAATTTTGCTTTTGTACAAGTCATGTCTATTTCTGATTGATATAGTGTAGAAAAAATGGAAACATTAAATCAGCTTGAGAAGGTGAAATTTAATGATGTCTTTCAAAGTGTCAATGACTGTTAAGTATGAATAGTTATCAAACTACAAATTTTTTGTTTTTGGGTAGAAGTGTTTGATTTACTGGGATTGGAATGTATTATGATGTCACAATACAATCCACTGTAGTTATTATTCAGACATAAATCGTTATGATTGACAAGTATTAAATAATTGTTAATTCTTTTTAATAGGATGGTGTATGTAAGAAGTCAGAAGATGGGATACAAAAGAATGATTCAAGAATCAAAACTCCAGACCTTCTCTCTAAGCTGAATTTAGATCATTTCTATCCCAGTAAACTGACAACTGCAGATGCCTTCAGTATAAACAGGACTTCATTTCAGAAAGAGGAGCCCCATTTAGAAAAGGAGCCACTGAAAGAGGAAGACTTGGCTTTTGTGTACCAACATAAATTGTTGACACTGGATTACAGAGCCAGATCCTTAACCATTCACAAAGAACTTATCGCAAGTAAAACTGATGAAAATAAAGATTTTGATGATTTTCTGAATGATGAGAATGAGTGTAATGATAGTGAAGATGGAAATACTCAGATTCACCCAATGGACGTCCAGATGGCAGTTTTCCACTGTGCAGACAGTTTCCTGAGGCAGAACATGGTGACTAAACTCTCCTCCTGCCAGTACGCTCTGCCACTGCTGGTGCCCAGTCCTACATCTGCAGACATTGAACTCCCTCTCTGGACCTTTCGGCAGATCAAGAAGACCTGGAAGTCAGTTGGTGGTCTCAGCACATCATTGCCAGTTTGTCAGATTAAAGCTCCAATGGTGTTTTTTTGCAGGCTGGGCTCTGTTTCCACTTCCAAATCTCAGCTGCTGAATTCTGTGATTAACCCAAAGCACGACACCTTCTTCCACAGAGACAGTCCAGGCAGCAGCAGGAGCCGCCTGTTCATGGACGGGCTCGTAGAGATTGCCTGGTACTGTCCTGCAGGAAACACTGATGACCTTTTTGATGAGTGCATTGCATTCTGCAATCTTCATGGTGATGCTGCAGAGCACAAAGAGCAAAGTGACTTTTTGAGTGAACAAGCTACAGTCAATGTTGTCCTGATGGAAAACACGAAGAACCAAAAAGACAAAGACAGAGAGATGTTACAGAAGCTCAGAAATTCGTCAAAGCCTTTGATCTGCCTTATGAGTGAACAGAAAGGTACAAGTACAATGGGAAGTGGAGACAACATAAAATATAAAATAGGACTCAGAGACAGAAACCAGGCAGAATTACATAAAGAACTGATATCAGTGATCAGTACCTGTTTGCAGAAATGTAACTCATGTCCCTCTTTCAGCCTTGAGGAAAGCTCAGGACTGGCTAAACATTGTGGCTTCAGAGTTGATGAAGACAGTAAGGAATGCCAGGAAGGAAAGACTGGAGCACTGGAAGTCATGAAGCTGCTGAAAGGAGAAGACATCTCCCAAATCAAGGCCAAGCTCCTGCCCTGTCAGGGGAAACTGTGGCATGAATGGAGCAGTAAGAACAAACAACAATATCGCCTGTATGGGGATGTTGAACAGACAAAGAGCAAAATACAGGAGGAAATGAAATCAAAACGGAAAAAACAAAGGGAGTCTTCACTTGACTTGATAAATGCTGTTTGTAAAAATTTAAAATCCAAGCACCTTTCAAAGAAAACGTACTTTGTAAGATGGCTTGGAGTCAACCTAGACGTCTCATTTTTAGATGAGCTTTCAGAAGTTACTCAGCAATATTACAAACAGTTGGCAGACCTGCAAGTTTTGAAACAGAAACGAGAAATAACTGAAGATTTCAGAAAAAAGCAGGAAGAACTTGAAAAATTATCAGAGAAAGTGGATGCAGTGACGTTTGGTCTGGAGCACATAGTGAGAGAAATGGGTCAGATTTATGAGGCCTGGGCTGAATGTCCAGACAAAATGACAGCAGAGGTTTCTACTCTCCCTGTTGTGGCTGCAGACCTCCTGATCTCTGGACATCCACTGGAGCTGATGGATGGAGATGCTGCTCATGTCCCTTTGACCTGGATAGAGTCTGTTCTGGACAAGGTCACTGAGAGACTGGGAGACCAGAGAGTGTTTGTGCTGTCTGTTCTGGGTCTGCAGAGCTCAGGAAAGTCCACCATGCTGAACACCATGTTTGGGCTGCAGTTTGCTGTGAGTGCTGGCAGGTGCACAAGAGGAGCTTTTATGCAGCTGATCAGAGTGAAAGAAGAGGTTAAAGGCCAGCTGAAGTTTGACTACCTGCTTGTGGTCGACACAGAAGGGCTTCAGTCTTTACAACTGGTGGGCAAACAGTCAGGACTCACTCATGACAATGAACTGGCCACTTTCGTCACTGGTCTTGCAGATATGACCCTGATAAATGTCTTTGGGGAAAATCCAGCAGAAATGAAGGACATCATTCAAATAGTAGTTCAGGCATTTCTAAGAATGAAGAAAGTAAAATTGAATCCCAGCTGCATGTTTGTTCACCAGAACGTTGCAGATATCAGTGCTGGAGAGAAGAACATGGAGGGAAGAAGGCAACTGCAGAAACAGCTGGATGAAATGACTCGTTTGGCAGCAACTGAAGAAGTGTGCAATGCAGAGTATTTTACTGATGTGATCAAATTCAACATACAGACAGATGTGCATTACTTTGCGCAGCTGTGGGAGGGAAACCCCCCCATGGCTCCCCCCAACCCACGTTACAGTGAAAATATTGAAAATCTCAAGCAGGCCATTCTCAAAGCTGCAGCAGAAAAGAACTGTCTAACACTCTCGGAGCTCAAAATCCGTATTAAAGACCTGTGGACTGCAGTGCTGAATGAAGACTTTGTGTTCAGCTTCAAGAACTCCCTGGAGATTGCAGCATACAGGAGATTGGAGGTCATGTACGGAAACTGGACCTGGGAGCTCAGGGAAAATATGCTCTTCATTCAGAACAAATTGCAGAACTGGATTGACAATGGAAAGCTGGTAGCTGTTGACCAAGAACTGATCCATGCAGAAATCAATACTACGTTCTGTGCTGTAAAGAACAAGATGGGAACATTCTTTAATGAAGATAAAGATGCTGAGATGCTCTCTCAGTGGAAAGCAAAAACAGAGCAGAGAATTAAAGATGTACATGATAGTCTCACTGAAGTGACTGCAAGAAAACTGACTGAACTCATTAAAATGAAGGCAACATGTAAAATGTTTGATGAGAAGAAAACCCAGTATGAGAATGAGCTGTTCAACAAGAGTAAAGATTTGGCTTCTACACTGAAAGATAAGGCCATGAATGAGCTGGACCTCAGGAGAGAGTTTGACTCAATGTGGGAGAAATGGCTTTCAGATCTTAAGGCAGAAACGACCCCTTTTAATGATATCCAAGTACAGCAGGAAGTGATGCACATACTATGCTCAACTTTTGAAAGTCACAACATCAATTTCAACAGAGACAGTAAACATTACAAAAAGATTGATAAAAAGAGAGAATATTCTTACTATGTAACAGAGAAGAAAGGCAGGTTTGGTATTTTATATCATAGTTTGGACACCAAAGATCATGACTCAATCAGAGAGCTGGTGCAGGAGACAGTGAGAGAAGCTGAGGAGATCATTAGAACTAAACCAGTGGACAGAACAGGCTACAGTGACGCTTACACACAGGAGATTGTGAACTGTGTGAAGAAGAGAGTGGCAGAGTTTAAAGCTGAGAGATTCATACTGAAGAATGAATTCACAGTGGATCTGTCTCTGTATGTCTGTGACATTGCAGTAAGAAAGTTCACTGATCTTCACAAGGTCTTCAGAGAGGCTAATGATCCTGTGATTTACCTGGGAAATAAGAAAGGAGAATTTTTCTCCATCTTCAAGAAGCAATGTGAAGGAGCAACAGCCACTGCTGTGTTTGCAGACTTTGTCTGTAACAAACTCAAGTCGTCTATCCTGCAATCTGTCTATGATCAAACTGCCATTGATGCAGCTGGAGAAATGAGGGCAAATTTCCCAGCATTCAGTGGAAACAGGTCAAACCTGGAGAAACACATCCTGCAGGATCTGGCAGAAGCTGAAAGCTTTGAGCGATTCATCACCTACATCAAGAATCCTAAGATACACTTTTCAGATTTTATAGGTACAAAAATTGAAAAGCAAATGCTGGAAGGGAGAAACCCCAGAATACTGGAAATTCTGAAAAATGCTGTAAAAATGAAGCAGTCTAGTGTGTCTGCAGCCATCCAGAAGGCCACACAGGAGACTAAACAGAACAAAGGAGATGTGAATGAGTGGCTGAAGAGTTTTTCACAGGAGCTCAAAGGTGAGATGAAATTTACTGTGAATGATCTTGTTGGTGCTCAGTACCAAGAAATCACTGACACAGGCTTTTTTGGTGACGTGTTGAATAAAACCCTACAGAGTGTGTTTAAGGATATAACCAGCATTGACCACATCTCTTCAGTCAGGATGAACATGTTGAGGCAGAGACAAAAAGATATTCTGAAAAACCAGTTGTGTGGCTGTTGGGTTCAGTGTCCCTTCTGTGCAGCTATTTGTACAAACACCATAGAAGGACATGATGGGGATCACAGTGTTCCTTTCCATAGGCCTGGAGGAATCAATGGGTGGACATGGTATAAGACAGACAATCTGGTTGTAGATATCTGCACCAGTTTAGTAGCTAGTGATGCTAAATTAGTCCTATCAGATAAAAAGCGTGTCCCCTTCAGGAGATACTGGGAAGCTGGACCAGAATTTGCCTCTTGGAGCATCACACCTGATGCTTCAGAACAGGCCTACTGGAAATGGTTTGTGTATCAGTTTCGGAGAGACTTAAAGAAGCACTACGGCAAAACTTTTGAGGGACGAGGAAAGATTCCTACAGCCTGGAAGTACATCAGTAAGGAAAATGCCATAGAAAGTTTAAAATACAATGTAAAAGGGGATAGGTATGCAAAAAACATGTGATCTCCAATGTATTTTTTTAATTTCCATAATTTATTTTCTTTTTCTTTTTTTTATAGTCATTTCTAGAAGCAGAAATTGATCAAAACATTGAAGTTTAGCCAACAGAAAATAGAAACTAAAACCCAGTTCCCAGAAGAATACAAGTACCATCCCATGGTTTCAGTCTGCTTCTGGAGATGATGTGTGATGTATTGTTGTGATTCCTACCAAGCACTAAGCATCAGGTATAACTTTGAAGACGACAGAATGTCTTAGATAGCATTCACTGTTTAGCCACTATAATGAATTTAGAAGAACTGCTATCTCTAAATTAAATCTTTAAAATCTATGCCATGTTTGGAAACGGGCTCCTGAGAGATTCTACTAGTCACAGACTCTGAAAGTGAAATAACACACGAGAGACTACAAGACAACATGCTACTGAGTGATGTGCTAGTAACCTCTCCTCATTAGCCTACGCATGCCTGTTCTATGGGGCGTAATGTCAGAAACAGGCCAGAAAATCGAGGATGTAAGCTCCATAAACTTCACATCATAACTCATGATAACTGGACACTTCGTGTTTTATTCATGACAGTTCAACACACATGAAATATCAATGTTTTCCATTAATGCTAGTGAAACTCCTTATCTGATGCAGTTAACGCTTACACAGTTGTGCCACTTGGTATTTGGAGATACTTTGGCTGGATTCCATTTCCTGTTTCCACTAAAATGTGTCCCCTGTTTGTCCAGATGAGATCTGATTGTACTTTACCTGTGTAAAAATCACAACCATATCATCGCTGTTCAAAGGAAAACAAGTATCTCCAAAATAGTAAGTTTGCAGGAGAGGGCAGAAACGTCCTAACAGTTTTGGAGTGTTTTTGTGCTCAAATGTCGAAAAGTCAAAATAAAAAAATGGAGATATGTGTAAAAATATGAACAATTTCCAATTTATTTTGATGTCTTTTTATCCTTTTGCAATAGGAGTGGACAAGCTTAATGTGGACACCTTGTTTACTCTCTCACCTGCTACTCAGAGCTCAGCAGACAAATTTCCAATCATGTAGTTATACAGATTCATTCCATTTACACTCATGTTAAATACGGTCAAGATCCGTCTCTGACCACCTCTGAATGTGATCTGAGCGTAATCTGACCATAGTAAGTCCTGGCTGTGGTCAACATGAACGTGATCTGATCTTTTAAAATGCATGTTGATATAAGGTGTAAACAGACCCTTATTGTGTAGACAGTAGAGGGAAAAAGAAAAGGAGGCTGATATTCGAGCGTTTTTACTGTCAAAGTCAAAGTGTGAGTGTAAGAAAATGTTTCAACAGCAGAAAATCAGCCACAAACTTCACTGATCTTATTTAACCAACTCACCATCTGAATAGACTCGAATTAACAAGCAGCTCAGCACATCTTCAACACATACAGTAGATTATGCTGCACAGATGATGCAGAATATATGTGTTCAGTTGTGTAATAGTCTCTCATATATCACTTATAAATACATCAATTACTATTTTCCTCCTTAAACTTTCATCTTTCTTTATTTATAAACTCCCATAAGAGGAAACAGGTTGTTGGTTAGAAGTATACTTTAAATACAGTGATACTGAAGTACCTGTAATGATATCCAAGTTTCTGTTGCTGAAGTTGATGTACAGTTTATATAAAAACAAATGTTAATGAAGGTAATAAGACAGTTATAACACTGTTATGATGCTGCATTAAAGTTGTGAATATTTCTGGTGAGGGAGGTTGATTGTTCAGTATGTTTAAATATAGTTATAGTTATTTGAAGTGTTGAAGGTAATAATGTTCTGCAGACTGAATCACTGCTTAACTGTACATTCCTAATGTAAAACTCCTTAATGCTAATAATGAGTATAAAACCCTTATGAAGGGTCAGGTGGTGTGAGCAGTGAGTCCTCCCAAAGCTGAAATTAAACATACTGCACTGAATCGATATCAGGACTGTTTACTTTTAGGAAGTTTGATTAATAAATATTAATACAAACATGTTCTGATTAAGGTTTGTGTACAGTTGCCTCTCACTTAACACTGTAGGACCCAGTGAGCCTCTACCTGTTTCTACTGTATTTATTCATAGATTTTAAATAGAAAATAAATAAGAATTTACTGAAACTACTTGTTTTTTAATAAATCATATATAAACAAGCTCTGTTGTGTTCAAATTAATTAGTAAATTCTTTCATTTTATTATAAAATATGGCTGATTAAAGGAAAAACAGTGTAAAGTACTTTAATGAGCTGCTGAGTCACCACAAGCCATCAGAGCTTCAATATGCCTTGAACTCTGCAAGTCTCTACAGATGTGCTGCAGGGACCCCTCAGCTGGTGTTTTGATGATGGTGGTGGACAGCGCTGTCTAAAACATCTGTCCAAAATCTCCCATAGGTGTTTAACTGGACGACTGACTCCTCTGACCATCACTTTTCCAGTGAGCTCTGAAATGGTCATTCGTCTTTATAATGAGGGGTTCCTGCCCTACAGCCCTACGTTCTTCACTGACGTTCTCAGTCACCTGAGGAACATCTGCTCTTATGTTTTACTTTACAGATCACAATAATGCACAAACATCTATGAATTACTGACCAGCCCTGTTCACTAAAGTCTTTCACACAGATCTAAATGCAGAGGTCACTTTAGTCTCTGTTCCTATTAAAACACTGTCCAGTTTAGACGTCTGTGTGACTGAAGCTCCATCTGCGCCCCTAAATGATCCAAAATCAAGGTCAACTGGGCTGCTCAGCGTTTCATACCTTTTGTTTGATAAGAGGTTAAATGCTTTACTGTATTATCTAGAACACCTGTCTGGAACCATCTGCACTCGTTATGTTTCTCCAATTGTTCATTCAAGCTTTTCCTTTAATTTGTCACCTGACTGTATCTCTTAAATCTGAAATGAGAAATATGCTTATTTATGTTCAGAGGGGCTTACTGGGGGGCTTTTCCTCTACAAATGTTGCTCTGCAATCTAGAACCAACATACCAGTATAGATTGAGACTATTTTCAAGCAACTTGAATGTTGAAATATATTGAGTGATGTTCTTGTTGGAGGCCTGCAGATGCAGATTCTGTGCAGTCCTACAAATGACTCCCTCATTTAGAGACACTGACTGTGTGAAGTACAAAGTGTTTCTAAATGGTTTCAGATCCTCAGACATAATACAATATAAGACAATGAGAACATGAGGAACCACAAAACACAGTTTTAAATGGTCACTTCATTTATTGAAAGAGAGAAAACATCTAAATCACCAATGTGAAAAAATGATGTGCTTCCTAAACTTAATAACTGGTTCTGCCACCAGTTTAGCAGCAATAACTGCTGGAACCAATCAGCTGCAGAAACACTGACCTTATCTGAGGTGAGGAAGTTCCTTAGATGTTCTTCTCGGTTCTCTTCAGAGTTCCTGTAGGAGTTGTTGCTGTGCTCTTGGAGGAATTTTGGTAACCCTTTCAGTAGAGCTGCCAATAATCAAGCCTGGGTTTGTCTAGTTTAATTGATCCCAGTTAGTTTCTAAATTTTCTTTTTTATTTTGCCTCAAATTACATTTTGTTTGAAATCTGAATCAATTAGGTTTGACAAATATACAAACATTGAAGACATTATGAGGCAAGTCCTTCTTCATGGCTCTGTAAACTGTCTGCCAAACATTTGACGAAAAAGTTTTAAAATTTTCAATAAAGTTTGCTTTTCAGTGTTACTGTTTAAACAAAGTGAATGAATCCTGTAAATGGAGAGAACAGAGACAGATACGATTCTCTCAGTAAAGGAATGACTGAATTAAGGTCACTCCACCTTGATCGGTCAGCTCTAAGGAGCTGGCTTGGACAGTTTCGGTATCCATCCAGCTCCATAAACATCTGGGAAATTCTGCAAGAGGCATGACAGAAGAAACAGGAGGAAGCTGTAGAAAAGTAATCTTTTAGTATGAAGATTGTGTTTGCAGTAAGGATTTATTTTAAAGATCATGTAGATGTTGATTCTGTTTTAGTTTCTGTCATGAATATGTTCGTGATGTCGTTTTCCTCAAAATAAAATGTGGTGTTTTTATTAATCACAAACCAAAAAAGAAATAGATGATGTTTTTAAGGCTTTTAGGTGTCTTGAGATTTTTGAGGCTTTTCCCCCTCAAAGGAATTTTGTTTCAGATGAATTTTCAGGGATTCTGTCAACAGCTGTAATTACTGCCACCTGGTGGACATTCAGACTGATGTCAGCGTTTTCTCACAAGAGTCAAAATGGAGCAAAGATCACACTAATGGTGCTTTTCCACTTCATGATACGACTCAACTCAGCTCTGCTTTTGGTACCAGCTACTTCCTTTTCCACTGCAGGTACAGCACCCCATCAATGTAGCTGGTTGTCATAGTGACACCACATGCAACTGCCATGGCGTTAAGGAGGAGAAACTTGAGGAGAAAGTAAAACATTTAGGTTGGTCAGTTTTTGAGTTACACATACATTCTGCCTTTTTGTTTAAGGACTCTGTGAAAAGGCTTTGTGAGATTTGTGCCCCAAAGTCTTCTGTGCTCAACCAAACATAATATCTGACTGAAAAGCTGGGTGTTTTTATGCTGCTTCTCCATCCTGCTTAAAACATTTTGCTCTGGTTGGTGAGTCGATGTTAGTTTGTTCTTGGAAGGTTTTAATCTCACCAACTTTAACATGAAAATCTTATATTTGTAGTTTAACTTTAGGCTCTTACTATAATGAGCCCAGACTGTTATGTAGACTAAATTATCCAGAGCCTGACAAAGCTGGAATTTACTATGATCACCTTAACCTGTTACCATGTTAACTATATTGTCTATAGCTGAGTTTTACAGTGATGACCTCAGGCTGTTACCAAGTACACTGAATCACCTTAGGCTAACACAGCTGGCCTTTTCTGTGATGACCTCAGGCTTTCACCATGAAGACCACACCACCCCTTGGTAAACATAACTGGGGTTTGAAATGATAACTTCTGGATGACATCATGTGATGTCCACAGACTTTTATTATTAAAGTGTGGGGAAAAAAAACAATGCATACAATTATTTAAAGGCTTTATATAAAGTACATATCAAATTCAAACCAAATACAGAATAACTGAACATGAGGAGGAAAACTACAACCATGTATAGTATGTATATGTTTAAACAGTCCAAATCAAAAAGTATTGATTTCTAGACTGAGTTTATGAAAGTCTGTCAACGTTTCCACTGGTTTGAGAGGGTTGATGTTGAGTCCAGGTGTTTTGGGAGGAGGAGAAGCACCTTGTGTCCTGCTAAACAATGTAAGGTCGTCCTCAAATGTCAGGAGTTTGACAGACGTACTATCCAAGGTGCAGCCACTGTTATACAGGAAAACAACAGACCAAACCTGACAACCAAGACTTGGTTCTATGAGACATCGTCCTCTGCTCATAAGCCCTGAGTGTGAGAGGCTCCTATCAGTTAATGTGTGGGTCGTCTTCGAAGCTGTAAAACACAGAATAAGTCAGAATGTCAGATATGAACACACTTTTTGCAGCCACAGTCAGACTCAACATGCAAACTTTGTACAAGCCATCACAAACACACAAGACAGAACACTGAGACCCGCCTCACAAAGCCATTAAACACCTCTCTCTCT